ACAGTGTATAGATAACATTGTGCTTAATGGGAAAACCAGTTTATGGAATTTTTGCACACAATGGTATATCAAATCATGTTGTTATATATTTTATAACATAGTTGAGAACCATCCTTAAACAAAGTTAGTTATAAAAAAATCCTGAAACCTAAAAATTGATTGGCGATCTAAAAAAAATTCCCATTGTTTTTGCCTTTTCATGTTTACTCTTGTCATTTTATTTTTAGAAAAACTGAGTCCTGGTGTCCTCTACAGAGGACATAGCATAACTTATGAATAAAATATAATTAAAAAAAAAAAATTATTTTACCATTTTTTTCTTATGGTCTGAACAATGTAATGATATATATATATATATCTAAACGTGTCAGAATATGATAAAAAGCTAACATTAAATGTCGATAAATCACTGATTTAACAATTTATGTAATTCCAATTATGTTAATTCTCTACAAGATTGTCACGATAATACTTATTTTTATTGATCTAAGATCAAATGAATTAAAAGCATTCCTCTGTGGGAATGACTGCAGTCAAATAGCGCTGCAGTTCCTCGTACGGCCTGCAGGGGGCTCTAAAGTCAAACAGCAGCTACGACACGAGCATCAGAAAGAAGGGGAGGGAAACTTCGATTTGGCGTCTGGCGCTCCGTTGAATTACTTAGACGCGCTCGGTCTGTCTGGTTCGCAGCACGGCAGAAGCCGCATCTTCTTTGTTTTCATTTGCCCTGTTTATTTAAGTATCGGATCGATGGGAAATAAACCGACACGCGGAAGAAAGCGACTCACTGACACTGGATACAAACGGCGTTTCGTCCTGTGACAGTCTGATGCTGTGAGGAATAAAGTGTATCTGCTGAGAGGAAACCAGCGTCAGTCAAGAATTAAAAGCTGTGAGTCTGGCTATGTGACAAAAGATGCACTTTTACAAAGGGATTTTCATATGCTAAAGCTTGTAACGTTATTCATTTCATATTCGATATGACACGGCAGGTTATCAAGGTACTGAGGTAAATATGATGCACTTTAAACTTTGTTTACATGGAGTCTTCGCACTGAAACCAAATTTGATTTGAGATTTACGATTTCCTCAGATGTTTAGGCATGTAACACTCGGGTTTTCTGCCTTTTATTAGTGAATTCAGCACTGGAAAGTCTTGTTTACTGTTGCTGGACTGCCAGTGTTGATGTGTAGCACTGAAGATGCTTGGGAATCGACTTTGGGAATGTCCTCTGATTTGGGAATGATGAATAACGGACCCACTATCGTCTACGAGTGGCTGAAAACCCTCCAGCTGTGTCAGTATGTGGAGGCATTTGTTGACAATGGTTATGATGACCTGGAGGTGTGCAAACAGATTGGAGACCCTGACCTGGATGCCATCGGTGTCTTCACCCCACATCACCGGGAAAAGGTT